TCGCCCCGTCCCCTGTCACACACAGAGCCGCAGGGCAATCAGGCGGTTTGGGCACTGCCCCCTGTCACGCTGATCCCAGTGCCGGGAGGCCTTGCATCTCTGCTGATCCTGGGGCTGGGAGGCATATTACCCTTTTATTATATAGGATAGAGGCCTGGTGCACGGGTGGGGGCCGGCTGGTTTACCCTGAAGGGTGTCCCCCATCAGGGTGGGGGTCCCCACTGTGGTGCCTGGCCAGCCTGGGTGAGGGGCTGATGGCTGTTTCCAGCTGATCACACCCCCTTCAGGGTGAGGGTCCCCACTGGGGTGCCTGGCCAGCCTGGGTAAGGGGTTGATGGCTGTTTTAAGGCTGGCCAAACCCCCTTTAGGGTGGAGAGTCCCCACTTGGGTGCCTGGCCAGTAGGGGTGAGGGGATGAGGGCCATTTTCAGACTGACCAAGCCCCCCCAGCGATGGAAGCTTCCAGCCTTTCCTTTTTTTCTTTTTCTTTTTTATTCTGGAATTTATTTACCTTTTATAATTGAAACATTGTTGCTTTGAGTGGAGTTAAGAGCCGGCCGTGGCAGGGAAGCTAGGCATCCTGCTTGCTCAAGGTCTGTGGCCATGACCAGCTGAAAGCAGGTATCTGGAGTTTATTTACCTTCTATAATTGAAACTTTGTTGCTTTGAGTGGAGCTCAGAGCCGGCTGCGGGAAGCTTGGCTTCCTCCATCATTGTGAAAACCAAGCCTCCTGCTTGCTCCAGCTCTGTGGCTGCAGGCCGCCATCTTGGTTGGGTTAATTTGCATATAGTTGCTCTGATTGGCTGGTGGCTGTGGCTTTAGGCGTAACAAAGGTATGGTCAATTTGCATGTTTGTCTTTTATTAGTGTGGATTATATAGATACATGGATAGTTACAATAGATACATGACAGAAAGGTAGGTAGATGAGAGAGAGAAAGTTGGTATGGAAGATACAGAGATAGATAGAGAGATAGATAGATAGATAGATAGATAGATAGAAAGACAGATATCACATCTTCTTCATTCATCTGTTAATGGACACCTAAATTGCTTCCATATTTTAGCTGTTGTAAATAATGCTGTAATGAATATAGTGGTACATATTTCTTTCTGAATTACTGTTTTCACTTT